CCCCAAAACCCCAAAACCCCAAAACCCCAAAACCCCATTCGGACTATACCATATTGAAACTTCACCTAGACATGAAAATGGAGTTTCTGGAATAAACCTTTAGTATGTTCTGGAGACCTAGAAGTTATTAATTATAGACATCATGTGCAATAATAGTTCTTTCATGATTCTCCTGCCTACATTGCTTGCCAATAACAGTAATTTAGATAATAAAAAGTAATGATATGGTGAAACGGAATGGATGCCTTCATTGTTATTAAATTATTTTAGGAGTGTCCATTAGCCATTTTCCCATCAAATCAATATTTTATAAGGCTATTGGTGAATCAAGGTGGTATAAATTTTATGAAATTCTTACTATTTTCCCAATTTTAGGGCCTCTTTTTGTCCTGAAGCATGAGTTTTAGGAATCCTGAGCTCACAAGAGCATCCAGCTCTATATAAAATTGTCATTAAGAAGCATTTTTCTTAATGAGATAGCATAAATCAGAAATACTAGATTACAAGTTTTAGGAGTTTTTGCAGTTTCATTAAAATATTTTTGAAATTTATACCCAAAATTCAGATATCAGAGAAGCCCATAAAATGCCTCTTCAATATACCAAGAGTAGAGGTGCTATAATGCTACTCAATTCAAGCTCAATCGTTAGGGGACCCAGGACACTCCAATTTGTGAAATTACAAATTTGGTCCTTCCAAGATCCTGTTAACACCATAAATACTAATTATTATTAAAGAAGACTTTTGAAAAATTAAAAATCCTTGCTATCAACCAGGGTTAAAATTTTCGATAATACCTAAATTTAAGAATAATTGGTAAACTCAGAATTTATGCAGAAATTTATGTAAATTTAATAAAATTTAATTAAAAGATGATTTTCCAGAAAAAGAAATCTTCTCATGTTAGTAATTTTGGGAGTCCAGATACTTCTAAGCTGCATTCTCTATGGGATTTTGGGGTCAAATTCCCAACTAAAGTGCCTAGCCAGGCTTTGGTAAAGCAGGCCAAACCAAAGAAGAAAGATAAAGCTCCTGGTAAGGCAAATTAATTGCCAAAATTACTGAAATTAATGTCATTTTGATAAATTTTATGGCTCATATTTCGAAAAAATCATTATAAATTGCATTATTTTAGCTAGACAGATGCAGCATATCCAGCTCTTGCCTTATGAGCTGCATAAACATGAGTTTGGGATCATTCTCCCCGATGTGGGGGAAGAAAGTTTAGAAGTTTTACTCGATTGGTATGAGAAAAACTATGCCAGACCTATCCCGAACAAGCTTCAAATCAGACGCCTTCATGAGCTGACTAGTCTAACAAAGTCAGAAATCAGAGCATGGACAGCTAAGGTCAGAAAGGTATGATGAAGTTCCTAATCTGTAGTATAAACTTGTGGTAGTTAGGACTGATGACGGCACCAGATTTTTGGCTATCAACCCCAGTCTAAAACCTGTAAATCAGTGATAACACCTATAGAGAAAGTACATTAAGTCGAGAAAATATTGCAAAGTCAAAAAATCAGACGAAGACACGACTAATAGCTCGAGCACTCCAAAACAAGCTGATCAAGCTGTAAGCTCGGTTGACAAACCTGAAACAGAAGTGAAATCAGAGGAGCCTAAAGTTAACACTTAATTATTATAAAGGTTAGCAGGCTCTAAACTTGCTTTCAGTTCTTTGGGCTATTCTTTCCCAGCTAATACTCTAAAAATCCAAGTGATTTTATGGATTACTTGCATTTAGAAATTTTGAATCTTGCTCAAAAACATGACTAAAACTGTCATAAATTGTTTGAAACCCCTCAGTTTTACCAAAAAGAATTAATTTTAGCACGACCATTGAGTTAAGATAAATTAATGAATTTTGTGTTTATAGCAGCTTCGGGTAAAATTAAGGATACAGCATTCATAATATGTGCATGGAACGTCACATAATGCCTGTCAAAGAATAAATTCTATATATTTCAAATCATCTAAATTTTGGTTGCTGAGATTAGGCTATAGAGCAAATGATAATAAATGGTCGACCCTGCGTTAACAATCCTTCCTCTACCCCTTCCCAAAACTCTGCTTAATTAACCCCCTTTAGACCAGCCCTAGCCAACAGCTTGTGCATATCCCGCCAATTTATTAGAAACACTGTAGGCTTAGGTCTCCATGCAGGCTAAGAGGACAACGAGGGATTTGTTAAGAGGGAGGAATGGAACGGTTTATACAGGAATTGTTAATTGGTATACTAGATGAAGGGCGGTAAGCAGAAATTAGGCTAGATATCAAACTTTCTTTTACCCAAAGAATACTTGGATTCCGATTATCCAAACTATTCCCAAAATCGTATGTGCTTCCCAAATTATCAGGTATCACTTCTTGTACTCTTCCTAGGCAACAAAGATGCTGTGTCCTTATCATGATGGAGAAATTATTAAGACATAAACATAGTAAATGAAATGATTTTCAGCTAGTTATTAGTCCACCTGCCTTGATCTTTTTATTCAAAATTAGTGATTAAGATTACGAATCTTACAGTAAATTTTTATTGGGTATGCTAGGTAATCCTTTTAACAAATTTGAAAGCAAAATTATTCCAAAGAAGCTGGTTAATTTAAAAATAGCGCCTAAAAGACAATCTAGGCGGTATATCTTGCTGAAATTTTCAATCGACCACTCCTCACTTGCAAACATTTTTGGAAGGAATAATTAGTAGTCTTAGTTTATAATTCCAAATTTTTCAAAATAAATTTACAAATTATTAATTGGATAGTTCAGGTTGGCACTCCTAAGGTTATAAATTTGGTAAATGTGACCATCTAGAGCAGTAAACAGCTTTCTCATGTGGAGAAAAAGCCTGCCCATCATAATTTTGTAATATTTTATAATCCCAAATGTCTGTTAACACCATTTTTAACCAAGAAGTTTACACACTTCCAAAATGTTTGAGGAATACTAATTCTGAGGAGATGTACCTGGCATCATTAAATAGCCCTTACTTCTTTGGCAATGAATTTATATGCAATTTTGCAGAATCTTCGTATATGAATTCTAATCATGAAACACTCCTATTTTCTCCTTGTTTTAGTGAGGTATAAAAACCAACTCCAACATCATATTTCCAAATGGGAAAGATTTTATTAAAAATTCTGAAAGTCAGGCTTCATTTATAGAGGACTTCAGAAGATTTCCTGATATAGTTATTAAAAATTGTAACCAAGCCAAGAATTCTCAAGACATCTTTGCAGGCTCCTAACATCCTGGTTAAGATCTGATATTACTAATTATTAAGCAAGAGGCGTGGTTTGGAGTACAACTTTTAAGCCCGATAAATCCCTAAGAAGTCTAATTCATTTCGAGGATACAGCCCTTGACCGTACTTGTTGGTATAAGAAAGATCTGAGAAATTTGAAAAATCTTATACCTAGAAGACCTTCTGTGCGCATTTTTGGTTTATTTGTGTTAATATTTTAAAAATAACCTCGGATGCTAAATTAGGTTAACCTGGTGAAATTTATGAGCCAAGTTGCTTATAATAAAGCAAGTCTGCTCTAATTGCCAAATTTGCTGAAATAGCTGCTCCTTTATAATTCCTACCTTCCAATAACTTTCAATCGTATAGTTTTTGTTGGGGTTTTGGGGTTTTGGGGTTTTGGGGTTTTGGGGTTTTGGG